CCTCGTCGCCCTGTTCACCGCACGCAGCGGATGGTCCAGCTGCTGCAAGCTCGTAATTCCCTCCAATCAGATCGCAGGGAAATACAACAGAGTGGCATTGGGGGGGGAGCTGGACCTGGTCGGCCTGGGCGTAGAGGGCGTAGTCGAGGATGATGTTGAGCAGGTTCGGGTCGTCCGGCAGGCACGGAGCTCCGACCTCTTTATTTTTCTTTACTTTCTTCTCCTTCTTCTTCTTCTTGTGCTTCTTTTTCTGTTTCTTCTTCGCGCGCTTCACTTCTTCCTCTTCTTCTTGGGCCGCCTCCTTCTCCCTCACCTCCGCCTCCTTGCGCTTCCGGGCCATCTTGTGGCAATAACTGAAAAAAAAAGAAAATAAATAAAAGAATAGAGATTGGCCAATACCAGGAAAAGATATTGGGTGGAATGATCAGCACACGATGGGGGAGGGCTGGTCGAGGGTGTGGTGGCCGCAGCCGCCGCGGAGGAGCGGGCAGAGGAGGTGGCCCAGGAAGTGGCAGTCGGGGAAGGCCATCTCCGTGTCGCACCGCACGTCCTGCACCGTGCCGCCGGGCTGGTCGATCGCCGAGATCAAGTCCGACGTCGTCCTGGCACATCAAACATATCAATATGTCAATATATATAATATAAACATCACTGGTTGGTTGGGCTTTGGGGCAGGGGCGTGTACCGGATGGTGGCTGTCCATTGCTGGATGGCATCAAATTCGACGCCAAATTTCCTGCGAGCGAAAGAAAGAACGAAGAGCGTCAGAAAGAGCGAGAGCGAAAGCGATCAAGGGTGAAGAGAGAGGGGAGGGGGGGAAAGAACGAAGGGGCGTAAGGGGAGACTTACCGGCGTGAGTAGACGATGCCGGGGGCGTTGTAGGTGATCGCGGGGAGACCCTCCTTGGCGCCCACCACCTGCGCCACCGAGCCGCCGAGCGAATGGCCCGTCATCATCACCTTCCGCTGCGATTTGATCTGTCGTACCACAAAAAGATGCAACCGTCCAATCGCGATTAGCTCAGTCTGGTGGTGCGAGTGGGCAAAAAAGTTATTACAAGTCGGTTGTAAGTAAGCGGCCTACCAGTTGCACGTAGGCCAGCACGGAGCTGAAGTAGGAGAAGTCGTCGTCCGTGGGCACGAACATGCGCTCCAAGTAGGACATCACCTGTATACATATATATTTATAAATATATAAATATATAAATGTCGTTTTTCACGGTAACATGTGCGGATCAGTTAATTGAAGCTGCGTAGAACATAACACCCGCAGCGCACGCAGCGCGCATCAGGTCAAGTCGGGTACCTGAACGAGGACGGCGGTGGAGGAGTCGGGCCAGGTGAAGACGAACGGGAACACCATCGAGACCAGCTCCAGCTGGAGCGCCTCCGACCACAGGTCCAGGTCCTCCAGTCCGTCCACGATCGATGCCGTGCCGCGCACGCTCTGCGCATACAAAAGAGTGGATTTAGTGGCTTGGTGCGCGTGCGGTAGCGCGTGTGCGTGTGCGGTGTGTGCGGTGTTGACAGCGAAGGACGTACAACGACGGAGAGGTTGCGAGAAGGGGAGTAGAAGTCGAAGAAGTGGACGGGCTCCTGCTGGAAGTGGCGGAGCTGCCAGTCGGACCCATTGAACCAATGGTCGGCGTAGCGCCAGTAGTCCGTCGAGTTGATCTCGAAATACGCCAGCCTGTGCGCACGTTCAGACATGCTGAGCCCACAAACACGCGCACACACACGCACACACACACGCCACCGCACACGACGATACAATGTTGGCCTACCAGGAGAGAAGGCCGAAGTCTACGATGTCGAGATCGCCCCACTGGGCGTTACAAAGCTGGTACTGCATTGGCGGCTGCTTCTCGGCGGCCACCGTCGTCTGGCGACCGTTCGCCAATGATGATGGGTGCGATGGTGGTGGCGGTGATGGTGGTGGCTGCCGTGCCGCCAGCCGAGAAGACGACGACGATGGCGAAGAAGGTGATGATGAAGAAGAAGAAGATGAGATGAGGAGGGGAGGAGGGCGATGATGAAGTGGCGGAAGAAGAGTCGAGAGGGAGGGGCGGAGGGAGGAGGTTGAGGAGGGCGGGGCTGTCGGGGGAGATGTGGGCCGCCTGGGTCTGGGTGCTGAGGCTGCCCAGCAGGAACCCGAACCCGAGTAGCGTGAGGCCCAACAGCACCACGTACCTGCGCGTATCACAATAGCAACGTGAGCACATGCAACACTATCGAAACCACACCACACACACACACACACACACACACACACACACACACACACACACACACAAAAGAGAGAGAGAAGGGAACATGGAGTACGGCGTACACGGCGAGGGGCCAGATGGAGGCCTTGCCCTTCCAGATGTGCTTGAAGGCGATGCCCACCGCCGGAAACGACAGGAGGAAGAACAGCAGCGCCGATACGCCAGCGCGCACTGGAAGTGCGACAATCATATGATATGATGCGCAGTGAGCACCCTCGACGGCCACATCGTGTCATTGGTGTGAGTGGTGGGGCAGCAGCTACCGGAAATGAGACAAAACATGGTCACGATCACGAAGACGGACAGCGGCAGGAGGAGCCACGTCGACGACCACAGCACACGCTTCGTAGCGCTGCATAGAGAGAAGGTGTGGGTGGTGAGTGGGCGGATGTAGAACATGGCCCGTCTGTGATATGTATGACACTATAAAACAATATAATGTGTTCATGATAGGGGCAGGGCAAGTACCGGAAGCAGGAGCGGAAGCAGCCGGGCTGCTTGCGCGGAGGCACGAAGCCCAGGTTGATGGCCACCTCCTCCTCCAGGGCCTCTTGCTCCGCCACCTCCATCCGGTGCCCCTTGACCTGTTCACCACATGTGTGTATGCCACGGTTAGGTTCGGGCTGGAATGTGAAGGATGACAGCCCAAATGGACGGGAGCGTGCCTGGAATTTCCACACGGCATTGTGGAAGGAGAGCGGAGTGGCGAGGGCGGCCAGGACGAGGCCCGTGCGGATGACCAGCGCGCGGCCCCACGACGCGTCGCCGCTCCGCTCCGACTCTCCGGCGCTGCCGCCTCCGGGCAGCTTGTAGGGCGCCTCGGCCCACTGCACGCGAATCCATCGGTAGTACTCGCAGTGCTCCGACAGCGCCTGCCGATTGGCGTGCGTTGCTGACGTCAGCCCAACACAGCACAAGAGTGCATGATGACGTCAGCACATGTGGTGGTAGCGACCGGCACCTTAAAGTAGCCGGTGATGATGAAGAGGACGGCGAGGCCCAGGCACACGAGGAAGGAGATGCAGAGGAACCAGGCGGGGAAGAGCGACACGTCGCCGGCCACGACGGCCACCGGGATGGCGGCGATGACCGACGGCACGATGATGATGGTGCGCACCACGGCGTGCCGCCGCGTGTCGACCTCGCGCGCCGGCAGCAGCAGCGACGCCTCGGGACTGTACCACCGCGACAGCACCTGCGCCACATGAAATTATTAGTAATAAATTGTTAGTATTATCATTATTGGCATTGGCATTGGTATTGGTATTGTTCGTAATAGTCAATTATGAACATAATTATTAGTGTTATTGGAAAAATAAATGACAGGTTTGAGTACCCGTTGGGGAAGGGTGGTGAAGAGGAGACGATCGGCGAACTTGCGGTATTGCGCCCTTCGCGGCACCGAATCGGCCACGAGCGCGAACACGTCATGGATCAGGATCTGCGGATTCAACACAAAAATACAAAATACAAAACAACGTTTGTTCTTCTCTCGTCAGTCCTGATCCACACCGGTCCAGTGTCGTGTGTGTGTTGTGTGTGATGTAACAACGTACCGGGAAGGCGGTGACCGCGTACAACCCGAAGATGATCAACGCGACTATAATGAAGTTGGTGGTGAGGTTGCACGTCAATGTAGGCAATGTTGTTTTGGGGAGAGGGGGAGGGCGTACTGACGACGACGGGGTAGACGGCGCTGCTGAAGTTGCGCGCGGTGGCGCAGGTGAAGATGAGCTGCGACAGGAAGTTGATGCTGAAGGAGATGGTGGTGACGAACACCACCACGAACACATACATACAGTACAGGTACGTGATCACCGACACAAAGTCCCACACCGACTCCTTGAGCCTGCCGACCCCCAACACCACACCGCCAGCAATCTTAGTCAGCACAAGCGCACACGACACACGACACACGACACACGCACACGCATCACGCACACGCACACGCACACGCACACACACACACACGTTACCGACGCATTTTGGGAAGGGATTTGAGGCTCTTGCGGTGGCCAGCGGGCAGCACGGCGGGAGCGAAGACGCTGCCGTGCTCGCCGCTGTCGTCGTCGTAGCGATGGCGGTGGGTGCCAGTGCGCGGCTGCGGGAGCGGCGAGCCGTACGACTCAGTCTCCGAGAAGTCGCCGTCCGACGCCAGCGAGCCATTGAGCAGCAGCCGCGGGTCCTCTTCCTCCTGTGTGTAGCGTCACTCTTCATCAGCCATAATTAATAATAACTGAACGATTTATCGATTATTTTTTTATTTATCGATTTATATTGTTGGATTTATTTTTTAATTAAAATACCTTCGACTCATTTATATATATTTATTTTATTCAGTGCTATTTTTGTCTGGGGCAAGAGGGAGGGGGCACCTCGCTCAAGTCTGGCCGAACCACCGAGTGCGCCCGCAACATGATCCTGGACGAAGATGGCAGGGAAGAAGGCGCACAGACTGGTCCCGGTTCCTTGGCCGGCCCGATAACGCGAAAAGCTAGAGTACAAGTTCCCTTGGCCTGTGATTTTGTTATTTTTATTTTTTTTCATGCTGACCTCATTTGGCAAAGTTGCACAAAAGCTGCGCAGTGGGCTGAAACAGCGCTTCTTGTTGTAGAAACACCACGATCGAGAGAGATGGCGAGAATGGGGCTTGTAGCGCTGCTGCTCGTGGCGATGGCGATGACCGTGCTGGCTGTGTGCCCCGCGAGGGTGCAGAAGCCGGCACCTGCCTTCACTGCTGACGCTGTTGTGGGCAGCGACTTCAAGTCCATCTCCCTTTCTGATTTCGTTGGTATACTACACCTCCACATCATCCGTCCTCCTCTTCAGTGTGTTTTATGAGTGGGAAGCACTCCTGAATCTATGCTTCCAATAATCCACAATTCGCACACTCACGCGTTATGACTCCATCTCCACCTTCTTGCGTTTGGTGGCTCAGGCAAGTACGTGGTGCTCTTCTTCTACCCCCTCGACTTCACCTTCGTCTGCCCCACCGGTACTGCCTGCCCTCGAACCCCCCCCCTCTACACGTTGCGTTGCCTTGCCTGCGCTAACCCGCCCGCCCCACCCCCTTTGCTCGACCCGACGATTACAGAGCTGACGGCGATGAGCGACCGCGTGGAGGAGTTCAAGAAGCTCAACGCCGAGGTCGTCGCTGTGTCCGTTGACTCCAAGGTGCTCGCCCTCGTTCCCATTCCCCTCACGACATAGCCAAGCACGGACAACTAACTGGCGTGTGTGTGTGTGTGTGTGTTGCGACGCCCGTCATTGCGCGAATCAGTTCTCCCACTTGGCGTGGACTAAGCTGCCCAGGTCGGAGGGCGGACTGGGCGAAATGCACATCCCCCTCGTCGCCGACATCACCAAGCAAATCTCGCGCGACTACGGCGTCCTGCTCGAGGTACGCCCGGGCGACTCCTTGACGTCGCATGAGGGAAAGTAACCGACACACACACACACGACACCAGGATGGACCGGACCAGGGCGTGGCCCTGCGCGGCATGTTTATCATCGACACCACGGGCGTGATCAGGCACATCACCATCAACGACTTGCCAGGTAGACACGCGCACACACCACAATGACACACATCATCATTCTACAATTCTACAATTGATCACAACCAAATGTTGTTGGTTGGTTGCGTGCGTGGATCAGTGGGTCGTAATGTGGATGAAACGCTGCGTTTGGTCAAGGCCTTCCAGCACACCGACAAGCACGGCGAGGTGTGCCCCATCAACTGGCAGCCCGGCCAGAAGACCGTACGGCCCCTCCCTCCAACAACACTACTGCTCTGTATGGCCATACAGCACCCTAATCAATCATGTCTTGCCTTTTTTTTTTTTTTTGTTCCTTGCAGATGAAGGCGTCACCGGAGGAGTCCAAGGAGTACTTCAAGGATATCCAGCTGTGAAAACTACCTTTGAAAGGTTGCAATCATAGTCAGCCCCCCCCCCGCCTCCAAACAGGCGTCTTCTCCAGGATGAAGGATCGGTTTCGGCGGTGCTCCTCGTCTTCCGCCTCCTCGTTGTCGCTTTCGTTCTTTTCCGCCCCCTCAGCTGCGTCTCGTCGTATTGCCCTCGGCCCTTCTTCCGTTGCGACAACGTCATGCGCCATGCGCCAATTCCGACAGACCAGGACAAGGTTGTTTCCGTGGAAGTCGTTGAATTCTGGCAGGGATGGGGAGCAAACTTCCAGTAAATATACGTCACCAGCACGTTGCTAGAGAAACAGAAGAAGAGAGAGATTGCTCTGATTTCCGTCACGCAATCAAAACCATCATATCAACAATGTCGGTCGCGGGCACAGTCCGTGTAGTGCGAAAGCCCCTCACCAGCAGATTCGCGGCCAAAGCGCCCATCACGCTCACGCCGGCAGCTGTTTCGCGGCTCCATTCGCTAATGGGAGGATCGAAGGACAAATATGAAGGTATCCGATTGGATGTCAAGTCGCGAGGCTGCGGCGGCAACTCCTTCACCCTCGACTATGCCGAGAAAAAGGAGAGGACAGACGAAGTTGTAGAAGCGGATGGTACCCCCCCCTCGAGATTTCTCCTGATTGATCGGGCTAATGGCGTGATGCTTGCTCCCAAAGCAGGCGTGAAAGTTTTTGTGGGGTCCAAAGCCCTCCTGCACGTCATCGGAACCGAGATGGACTACGTGGAAGATGACCTCCAATCTGGCTTCGTGTTCAACAACCCGCAGGCCAAGTCTACCTGTGGATGTGGGGAATCCTTCACCTTGTAGCCCGCCCTGTACCCCTTTCCTCATTATCTATCTCCATTCGCGAATGTAAATAATAAAATAACGAAAGCCTACGCGTTCTCGTCTGGCGTTGCACACAAGCGGGTAGAGAAGGAAGAAGGAGAAGAGATGAGCCGAGTGAAAGAAACAAGAGGAAGAAGTGACCAGGTTGTTGTTGTTTAGGAGGCCTGTGTGGGCGAGAAGCGAGAGACAAGACGCTCCCAGCTCTGCTCCAGCAGCTCGAGCTCCTTGATGTAGGGGTGCTTGGGCGTGCGCGCCTTCGCTTGGCTGTGAAGTGATGGAGAACGACATCATGAGCACTCGCGCTCGAGGGTGCACGTCACGCAGGAGCGAAGGAAGGGAAAAGGTGGTGTACTTGAGGTAGCGGTTGACCACTTCCTTGGGCTTGCCCATGTGCTGGTACAGCGCCACCAGGTTCACCAACGTGTCCACGTCATTGGGGTTCTACATCAACGAGGAAGAGAAAGTTGAGCATTCATGTACTGTGAAGATGGAGCACAAGCAAGTGCCAAGAGGTATGTAGTTGTACCTTCTCCATGGCCTGGAGGAGGAGCTTTTCGGCGTTCTTGGGCTCGTCGGGCTTGTCGAGCCTCTTGAGATGAACTGAGGCCAGGCCGTTGAGCAAGAGCGGCGTCGAGTTCCACTTCTCGGTGAGCTCTGTGAGGATGAAGAACGCCTCCTCCAGCTTCTCTCCACCCTGTGTTCACAGCGTGCAACGTTGGGTCAGCTCGCGTTGCAGGGCTGCAGAGACACCACCAAGCACAAACACAAACACAGCACCACATCATCATCATCATCATGCACCACGTCCACGTAGAATAGTGGGAAAGAGGCAGCGGTACGAGGGCGATGTCAAGCCAGGCGGTGGCGAGTTGTGTAGCGGTGGCGTCATCGTCGATACCCTGCATGGTGCCGAGCTCCTTCTGCGCCAGGTCGAGTCTGTCGATCTGGATGAATGCTCGCACGAGCAGCGCACGCCTGTAACGTGTAAAAACGGCGATTGATGGATCAGGAGGCGAATGAGAGATTAAGAGCTTTCCTCTTACACAAGAATGCGCCATACCCCTCCAGCGATCTGGACTGATGGAGAGCCCTGAACACCTCGTCGTAGTTTTCCTCGTAGAAGGAAATCAACCCACTCACCAGCTGCACGACGTCATTGTTGACCATGCGAGGATCGCTAGGCCAGCTCTTGATCGTGGTGAGCACGATGTCTTTGTTGCGCTCGCTGGAGAGATAGCTCGCGAGCGCCTTCACTGCCACGAGGGCCGCATTCGGGTTGCTGTCCTTGATTTCCTCGAGCACGATGTTGTAGTCGCCCTTGGCGATGTAGGAACGATAGATGATCACATCACGCTCCACCTTGTATGCTTCGGGGAGGTGGTCCAGCGTGAGTCCTTCATTGATCGCCGCTTGGTAGTTGCCGATGAGGAACAAATTGCGAAGCTCGAACAGTGGATCCGTGTCGCCCATTATGAGTGAAGAAGTTAAGAGGAGGAAGAAGTAGAACCGACCGAGATGAACCTCCAATGCTTATCAATTCAACAGTTTTGTTCTTCTGGAGCGACCACGTCAGCAAGCGGACTAGAGAAATGAATAGAGAAAATAGCATTTACAGAGAAGAAAACCGCCGCGTTGTGGCGCCGCTTATCCATCCGATCTGAGATCGCGATTCAACTGATTCTGGAAGAAGACCGGTTGCTCTTCGTCCCTTTTGCACCCACCAGGGATGGATTGGCTGAAATCGTTCGTCAAGCCAACAACCACCAAGGCAGAATGTTGGAGTGCCACGCGCACACCACTCGCGGTGGCCAAATTTAGAGCCCTCTTCAAGACCTACACCGAGACCAAGGGAGAACAGGTGCTCAATAAGCTCTCTCTAATCCTTTGTCATGTTTTCAGAGTATTTGTATTGATCTGTGCGACTACACAGGACAAGCTGGTGCAACTGAAGAAGGTGCTCGCACTCTTCGTGCAGCTCTACGCCATTCCAAAAGTCGATGACCCTCACATACTCCTCGAAACGTATACACCCCTTTGCGTGTCATGAGTGTGTCGTGTCGTGCAGCGTGTGTCGTGTTGCGTGTCGTGTCGTGATGCCAGATGGCTACGCAAGCTTGGTCGGTTGACTTTAATGTGTGGCCAACCAGGTTTGGAGACACGAAGGACTTGGCGTTCGCCACGTCGCGCTTCTTTGTGCGACAATTGCGCGCAGCTTGGAAGGACTGCGCCAGCAGAGAGCAGCGAGCACGCGCGCTGGCCGATCTCTTCGCCTCAGCCGACATGCAGGACGTCTTCGATGCCCTCGAAGTGCTGGCATCCGAGGTATGCGCCGGTACTCCTTCTTGTTTGCTGTTTGTTGTTTATCTCACCACCCGACGGCCACACCACACAGGCCAACGTGCGCAACATGATTGGCGCATCGCTGCCCTCCATGCTTGTCGAGGTGTTTGATGTTCTGCTGCCGCTCGGCTCGCTGCAGATCGCCAAACGGTCGGAGCCAGGTACGAACCAAACCATGCATTTTCCATTGCCATCGTACCCTAGCACCCAATGCCCTCACACCGCGACCCCCCCCCCGTGTCTCTGCCTGGCAGAGCCCGCTGAGGCCTGGCTCTCACGCCTCTTGCTCCAATGCTGCAAGGTATTTAGAATATGCCTATTAGATGGCGTGGTTGCTGACCATGCATAAACATTACTATGTACATATTTACATTTACTCACTTTGTGTTTTTCACCACATCCATCCAGAGCGATGCCATCGTGGACGAGTTGCAAAAGTCGGACACGCTCTGCTTGCTCCTTGACATGGTCGCCAGGCCTGCTCCGCTGCTGCGAGTGCCGCACCTCCGCAAGCGGTTCGCCACGCGCATGTCCTATATTTGCGTAGATGGCGATGATCTCACTGAACGCTTCTCTCATCTCCTCTCCTCTAGACTCGCGGGCGCTGCCGGGCTCGTGCTCGAGCACAAACTGGACAAGAACACGATCGCCCACATTCGCCACCAAACCACCGCCGACGGGCAAACACAGCACACCTTGGCCGACCAGTTGGCGAACTTCAAGAACTTTGAACAGTTCGAGAGCCTGGAGGCTCTGGCTCTCGTGCTTTCCCACATCATTCGCATTCTCCGCGTACGTGCCCGTGCCCTGATCTCGTCTCTGCGAAATGATGTGAGATCTCACGACACACACGACACACACGACATGCAGCGATCGTGTTCGGTGTCTGATCAGCTGATGGAGGACTTTGCAGCGGCGCGCGGCTACGGCGTGGTGGAGCAACTGTTGACCTATCTGGACCGACTGGTCGACCCCGGCGACAACACGGGGTCGCCGCACAGTGAGCAAGTCGCCAACCACCACCACCAGCCGATCATCGAAGATCGCGACGCGCGGCTCGCGGTGGCGATGAACGTGATCGAGCAGATCGGCGAGTTCGTGTGGGTCGGGTCTCGACCGCTGGAGCTGCCCGAGGACGACCTCCTGGTCTACTCGCCCTACAACGAGGACTCGCTCCCGCCACCGGCCTCGGCCGCCGGCGACAAGGGCAAGGAGGGCTGCATTCGCAACATGGAACCTCTCAAGATCCTACAAAATTTCGTTCTCGAGGTACCAGCGCGTGTGTGCGATGGTGTGTGTGTGTTGTGTGTGTGTGTGTGTGTGTGTGGCTCGTGTCACGCGTTATAACGTTTGATTGGTTCCACGATCACAGGGCACGAACAGCATGCTACGGCTGCGTGCGATCGATGCGCTGCAATCCACCCTCTCGGCCAGCCCTGCGAACTGGTGGCTCATGCAGTCGATCCGCCCGCTGGCGCCTCTCATCGAGCGCATGGACTCCATGGACATCGTGCTCCAGCAGGCTCTCACGCGCCTCCTGCTGTACATCGCCACCGTACACAACTTCGTTCCGTTCCAGGAGCTCGCCAGGTAACTCGTTGAAGAAGCACACATTCCATTCCATCCGTGTGCGGTGCGCACTCACACCCACTTTCCCCGTTTCGTGTCTGTTTTGTTTGCTTTTTTGGTGTTGTTGTTGTTCCCAGCCTGTTTTCGCTGCTGCAGACAAAAGCTGATATTACCACGCTCGAGCTGATTGTAAATACGGCCAAGCGGCTCTTGAGCTCCAATACTCAGTACGTGGCTTCGCCCCAGCACACGCCCACGCCCACGCACACACGCGCGCGCACACCACTGCGCACTCACCACACGCGCACGCTCCACGGCACACTCACCCACTCGCATTGGCCAACCGACAGGTACACAAGAATTTTTGTGGAGGCTGGCCTGCTGGATCAGCTGGTCGCGTGCTTTCACAAGCTCGACTCGTACCCGGTGTCGTCGCTCGTCCAGCTTCTCGCGTTGATGCGCATTCTGCTCTCGCCGTCGTTCCCCAACAACTTTCACCTCTTCCGCCAAGCGTGCGTCTCCTCTCTCGCCTCCTCACCTCCGCATAGCCGGTGTGTGTGTGTTGTGTGTGTGTGTGTGTGTTGTGTGGTGAGAGCTGGAGCTCACGTTGCACGAGGTGGATAACAGGGGTGCGGATCGCATGCTCGAGAAATTGCTGCTCGACGCCGAGCGACGGCCAGTCGCCCTGCGCCTCTATCGCACCCTGCTCCGACACGACCGCGAACACACGGCGCGCGACATGCTCGCCCTGGTCGAACTCCTGAATGCCGGGTGCAAGCACGACCCCGTCGCCTCGGCGCTGCTGCGGCGCGACATCCTGGCCATATTGGCCGAGGAATTCGACGGCAACGCCTCGCTCAAGGCACATTCCACACCTCCATTCACCACATTCCATCAGGCAGCATAGTCTAACACACATGCTTGGCGTTCCACACGCGTGCAGGATGCATTCCGCGAGGCCGGTGGGTTCATGGCGCTCGTGTCGTCGCTGGCTTCGCTGGAGGGCAGCCTCAGCGCCGACGCCACCGATCGCACGGCCTGCCTGGAGCTGATGAAGTCGGTCTTCACCGCGCTCGCGCTGCTGCTCTCGGCCAGTCCGGCCAACCGCACATACTTTCGCGATAGCAACGGTTCGCGCCATCCAGCCTTTTTCACATTCTTGCGCACCCACATGCACCACAGCGCACCATTTGACAATTATTCTGGACATTTGGTTCAGGTTACATGGGGCTGGTCGCGGGAATCAAGCTCACGGGCGTTCTCGGCACGCCGAACGCGTGGGAGGTGGGCGTGTGCTTCTTCGCCTTGTCCGCCTATCGAACGCCAGCCCAGCTGTTGCAATTCGGCGAGGTAATTCTCATTATAATAGCTACTATAGATTTATATCTCTTGAAATATTTGATATGTTTTTTGGTGTGCTGCTGACGTCTGTCTGTCTGACACGCTTTGCAGAAGCCGACGCGCAGTCAGGTAGACAACGCACCGTTGCGGAGCGGCGAACCCATCGTCAAACTCATCTCCCTGCTCCCGCTGATGACCCGCGACGTGGAGCAGCACCTGCTGCGTCTTCTGACCCGGTGGGCCAAACTGTCTCTTCGCACCCGCCAGACTCTTTACGGCGCTGGTGCCATCCTCTCTCTCTTATTTTAGATCTATGACGTGCGTGCGTGCTTTGTGCGTTCTACCGGTCATGGCACACAACGCTCACCGGTGAGTTTTAAACGCAGGTGTCGTGGGATTGGTTCTTCGCGACTACACGGCCGAAAAGCCGCTCAGCCCGCCCCTGCTGCGGCTGATCGTGGTCCTCGCCTCTTTCCGGTACGAGTCGCCAGCGAAGCACAGCGCTCGCACTTTTAATCGTTACACACTTTTTATCGCACATATTGACACATTCTTTTCCACATATTCATATGTGCGTTTATAAAACAGATTGTCGGTCGAGGAGTGGCGGCTGCTGATGCGGCTTGCCATGGACGTCAAGCTCCGAACGAACCGCGTTTCCATCCTCAAGGTCCTGGCCCAAATCGGCCACCTTGGCCAGAGCCCGCCGTTCGTGGAGCTCAAGACCACCATCCACCACACCGCCTGCCTGCAGAGCACTTGGCCCGGCGAAGGCTGGCCCACCAGGTCAGCTCTCTTTGCGTGTCTTGTGTCGTGTCGTGTGTCGTGTGTCGTGTCGTGTGCGTACTCACATTCTGCCCCCTCTCCAGTTATTCGATTCTGTTGTGGTTCTACATCGATCACGTGGGGAGCGCGGAGCGGCTCGACCTGGTGGCGCTCAAGGGCGTCGACAGCGCGTCGATGAACCTCTCGGTCGCACTGGCCGAGGGCAAGCTAGTCGTGCAGGCGGCCGCTGCCGTCACCGAACTGCCCATCGGCTGGCAGCGCAAGAAGTGGCACCACTTGGCCCTCATCTCCTCCCGCAAGCGATTCCAGGTATGTGCCGTGTCGTGTCGTGCCGTGTTGCGCGTTGTGTCGTGTTGCGTGTCGTGTGAGCAGATTATTTATAAATCGAATGAACGACCAGGCGAGCGATTTGCACGTCTATCTCGACGGCAATCTGGTACACACGGGCAAGCTGGGCTCCGCGCCGCGCAAGTTGCCCGCGGTGTCGTTCACCATCGGGTCGGCCTCGGCCGGCTCTGGCGCGCACGCGTCGTCCCAGCAGGGAGGAGCCACCGCCGCCACCACCGCCGAACACGGAGAGCCCACGTCCACGCCCGGCTGGGTGTGGCGCGCCGGACAGCTGTGGGTGCTCGAGGACGACCTCAACGAGACCCAAATCGCCACCTCCTACTGCCTCGGCCCTGGCTACAAAGGTACACAACGCAACGCAACGACACGACACGACACACGGTCTTATACTGTTTTGCCAACACTCGCAATGGTCGGCAGGCGTGTTTCGACCGCCACTGGCGTCGCATCTACCGGCTACGGTGTTTATCAAGAAGGCCTCGGGTGGCCTGACAAGCCCCCGCGGCGGCGGAGGCGGCGAGGGCGGAGGTGGTGGCGGCATCGGCCGCAGCAGCAGCACCACCAACGTCAGCAGCGTGCTGGGCGGCCGCGCGTCGTCGAACGCGGCAGCCGAACTGCAGAAGCCGAGCTTGCGCTCCGAGACCTACGTGCCCATCCCACCCGAGCGCGTGCTGCTCTGGTACTGCGCGCGCATTGTGCTGGCTTCCCCCGGTGCGTACCACTGCTTTATTCGTGTCGTGTTGCGTGTCGTGTGTGTTGTGTGCTTTGTGTTATGTCGATTGACGCGCCGTGTGTCGTGTGTCGTGTGCAGACAAGCGGAATACCCAGCTGCAGGTGCCCAATGGCGGGCGCGGATTCGGAGGCGTGGAACCGCCGCAGCCGCAGGCGGCCCTGTTGGGCGGTGCGATGGCCTTTCACCCGCTGAGCCTCGCTGACGCCGTGCGGCTGGTCGGCGGTCCCAACGTCCTGCTCGCCCTCATCGCCGACGCCCAGGTGCGCACCACCACCACCATCTCACACACCGCACATTCGTCATCTCCCAACCACGCAACTCGCAACCCAACGTGTTCGCTTCAATTCTCTATTTATTGCCGCAGAATGATGAGGAGCTGAACTGCACGTTGGACCTCTTGTGTGCGCTGTTGCCACCCAATCCTGGCCTCACCCGCGAATTCGAAGCTCTTGACGGGTACGTTGGGATTATTATTGCTATTATTGTTATTATTATAATTATTCATTATTATTATTCTTATAATTATGCACCATTATTATTGTAATTCATTTATGGCCCACCAGGTATCATCGATTGGCGACGATCCTCAACGCCAAGCGGTCCCTGCTGAGCGTCCCGAGCCTGGTGCTGCTGCTCAAGCTGGGCACCACCTCCCTGGTGGCCAGCCGCCGAGCCCAGTCCATACCCGACACCACCGCCAGCGCCGGCCCGGCCGTACACGCGCAGCCGCGGGTGCACCACATCGTCGTCAATCCGCGCGCGTTCTCGGACCTCCTGTGCGACCTGGCGCTCTGGGAGCGCGTCGAGGGCGCCACGCCCGCTCTGCTGTCGCACCTGCTCGCTCTCCTTTCGCCGCACAGCTCCTACCGCAAGAAGAACCTCCACACCCTGCTCAACCGAGTCAAGCTCGTCCCACTGCTGTGCCGGTGCGCGCCACCGCCTTTTGTGTGTCGTGTGTGTGTGTGTGTGTGTGTCGTGTGCTCACGCCTCCATGCGTGCGCGCAGCTACTTGGCCGGAGGCAGTGTGGCAGAGGCCACGCTGGCGATGGTGGTCGAACTCTTGGCTGCGTTGCTCTCCCCTCCCGAGATGCTCCCAAGCGACCTTCAGGTTGGTCTATTAATTATGATACTTATTTATTTATGTTATGCGTTATTGCTAATTTATTATTTATTCTTAATATTAAGGTGGCTGTGTGATGCTTCTAATTGTGTTGTGTCGTGCGGCGTAGATTGTGTGCGACCTGGTGGTGCTTCAACTGCGCAAGCATGGCCGAGGCGAGGCGGTCAGCGCCACTCCCGCCCTCGAGGCCAAAGAGTGCACCGAAGTGGCGGTGGAGAACAAAGAAGCCGACGGCGCCGTTAACGAAGTCGCAGCCGCCGTGTCGCCCGCGAATGGCGCGTGCGAAAGGGCGAGCGTGGGTCTGGCCGCACTGGACATGCTCTCGAGCCTGCCGGCCGACTCACCTATCATCCATTCCGGACCCATCAGCCCAGGTACGTCGCTCACTTCACCGGTCATGTCTGTTACTATCTCACTCAACTGTGTGTGTGTGTCGCGATATGACAGAGTGGATACTTTCGATGTTCTACGGTGCGCAGAGCGTGGTGGTTGTTACGCATGCGCTGCGATTGCTGTGCGGGCTCGCACAGGCTTCACCGGCGTGGCTCGCCAGATTCCGTCTCGCGGGCGGGTAACTCACCTGTGACCCACCTCATAGCCGTATACATGTTCATGTGGCACTCGCATCATACTCACCTCTGTCGTCACAACACACAACACACACCCAACACATACACAACATACACAACACACACCACCTCTGGCGTCATGGTGGCGCAGGTTCGAGCCACTCGCGACCGTGCTGCGACCGTTCGCGAGGAATGGCGAGATCTACATGTGCCTCCTGTCTCTTCTGCTCGACCGACCCACCGCCGGGCTCCCGTCGGTTCAGCAACCGCAGTTCGACCACGTCTCCCTCTTCTCCGTCTTTTCGGTATGCATCCGCACACGCACCGCACACGCACACACGCCACCGCACACGCGTGTTGCGCACGTCACGCACAGAGAGCACTTGGTACCCTGACAACGCAGAGGATTCATGTGTTGGTGGGGTGTCGCGCGCAGTCGCCCAAACAGTGCGTGGGGTGCCGGGAGGCCCTGCACGTGATCCTCGCGCTGCTCAAGGAACTGGTCGACGCCAACGACGGCGATTCGCACCCGGCGACGGTGGTCCTCGAATTCCTCCTCCACCTCTTCGACTCCGCCAAGGAGCTACGGGTAACACACCACCGCACACGCACACATGACACACACCGCACACCATCGCACACATGACACACGATACTCTCCGCTCACATTTTTGCTGTGTGGCGCAGGGTCCCGTCTTTGGGAACAGCGCGGTGCTGGTGCTGTCACAAGCCTCCTGTTCCCGCAGGACCACCTCAGTCCCCGAGCTCCAGGACGCCATCCTCCAGGGCAAGGAAGAGGAGGTACGCATGCAAACCCGAACAAACCGTTTCCCACCAAATATCTCACATTCCCTCATTCCACGTCTTGGTGACACACGACACACACGACACACACGACACACACGACACACACGAAGACAAAGTCGCCGGGCGTGGAGTGTAGCCCGCCCAAGCTGGCGCTGGGACTGCTCCTCCGCGTGCTCGAGCGTGCGGTGACCGAAACGACCGACGCCGCGCTCTTGACCAACGTCATCCTCGATGTACGGCTTGACTCTTGAGTCAACACCGCTGCCGTGGCACACATTCATTCTCTCTCTTTTTTTTGCTCGATCGAGTGCTGACGTGGCATCACACGCGTCGTACAGGCCACGCCCAGTGAATGCCGCGAGGAGGAGGTGTCCGTGTTCCGTGTCGTATTCCTGACCTCAGTCGCCAATCATTTCCTTCGCTCCATGCTCCGGTACGTCGCACGACACACCGCACGACACACCGCACGACACGCACACGCAGTGCACGATAGTTGATGCTATGTATGTTTGAATGTACGTAGTGAGGGCTACCACCACGAGCCGGAGCAGAAGGAGCGGGTGCTGCTGAATCTCGCCCAGCTTAGCAACCTGCTCGTCGACGAGTCCACGGCCGACTGTCTGCCGCTGCCGCTGGCGTTCCACTTCACGCTGGCCGTCCTGCGCCACTGCTTCAGTGTCGACACCGAGGAGGTCGTGCAGGAGGACGCGGTCGGCATGATCGAGCGCAGGCTCGCCTTCCGCGCGCTCAACCGCGTCGTCCTGGCCCTGCTCAGCACCGAGGTACCTACCTATTATCTGTTTAAATTTTTATAGTAATAGCAATAATAATCACACGCGATTTTTAATGGATTCTTAACAATGTTAATTTTGTAGGTGGAGGAAAAGATGCTGGCGGCGCTTCAGGAGGTCATCGACTCGCAGCGCGTGCTGTTTGCGCCCAGCAACGCCGACAAGGAGTTCATCGCACAGCTGTGCTTGGTACGCCTTGAGAGACTGAATGAACTGCAAGACTGCTGCTGCTGCTGAGCGACATTGTGCTGATGCGCTCACCCACACCACACCACATGCTACGAGCAGCAACTGGCCGGACAGCTGGTGCACGACAACTCCTCGATTCGCTCGCTGGCGGCTAGTCTGTTCAAGCTCCTGCTGCTGACCAAGGAGGAAATGATGCGCGAGTTCCTTGTCACCCGTATCCAAGTGCGTCAACTCAACACCACACTCACACACGACACACGACACACGACACACGACACACGACACACGACACACGACACACACACACACACACCGCACACGACGCCGCACACACACTAATTCTAATACACGCGCAGGGTCAGCAAGTGGACCTGATGACGGACGGCTTTGATTGCCTGCTGTCCATCGACCTGGCCCGCTTCGCCTTCTGGGCCGTCGACGCCATGCCGGCCATTCGCCTGGCCTTTGGTGGCACGGCGGACAACCCGCGGCCCGCCAACGAAGCGGCGCGCCGCGAGGCCTATCTCGAAGACGTCAAGTCTCGTCGACAGGCCGCCCTCCAGCAAGCGCAGGTAATCACCTGCTCCCTCCCAAATTTCGCTTTCGCGTTTTTGGTTTCGTTTTCGTTCTCTTTCTTTTGACAACTTAGTTTTGATTTTTTTTGTTGTTGAGGTGGTTGCGGCGACGAGGGCCGCGCGGACGGCTCGGTTGCGGACGGCGGCCCAGTTCGCGGTCAACGAGGCGCAGGAGCGCGACACGGTGGATCGGCGCAAGTGCCGGGAGAAGGCCTACCACGACGTCTACGAGGAGAGCAAGTGGTTCGAGACCGCCCTCGAGCTCTACGCCGAGCGGGCGCTCTGGGGCAGCGACCACCCGCTGCCCTACACCAAGTGGCGGCTCGACCAAGTCGAGGGGTACCTCTACTACCACCACTACACCGCACCCACCTAGGGCCTAGTCTCACCTTCACTGCAGACCACAGCGCATGCGGAGGAAGCTGGTGCCCGACACCGCATTCTGGCGACGCTACAGCGAAACACTCGCGCAGGCCGATGTCTCGGTACGGCACCGCACACGACACACAGTACAACACGCAACACGCAATACGATGCGGCACACACTGACGCCGTAGGGTTTGAAATTGCAAAACAAAAAGGTGGGCGACTACGAGGAATTCAAGGAATACGGCCAGCGCTACTCGAATCCCTTTGTGGCGCTGGCCGGTCTTGGCCAGGCGAGCCCTGCGCAGCAGCGATTAGCCATCACCGCCGATGGCGGCGCTGCTGCTGATGCTCCGGGCGTCGACCGCCGGGAGTCAGGGGACTTGGAAGATGAGGACCTTGTGCAGGACTTTGTGGTCATGGCGGTGGAGCCGGACGCGCGCGAGGACTACCTCGGACTGGTGCGCGAGCTTCTGGGCATGAGCGACAAGAGCAACATCGAGTCGGTGCACGAGTGCCAGCGCCTCGAGGGACAGGAGCCCATAGGTGCGCACACGCACACGCACCACCGCACACACCACCGCACACACCACCGCACACGCACACGCACCACCGCACACGCACCACCGCACACGCATGAAGTCTAACTTTTGTGGGTGCGCACACGCAGACGGGATCATGCTGATCTGCGCGCGCTCGGTGTACATGGTCGAGGGCTTCCGTCTCACGCCGGCCGGTCGCGTTGTGCCTCGCGTGGGCAACGTGCCGCCGACTCCTCCTCACATCGTCAAGTGGTCCCACAAGGACGTCGCCCAGGTTTGTCCGCTCTTCCCATCACCATCATCATCAGTGAGCTTATCATCATCGACGTCGGCGTGTGGCGTGACGAACAGGTCCTGCGTCGGCGGTACTTGCTTCGTCCGGTGGCGCTGGAGGTGTTCCTCAACGACGGCTACACGCACCTGCTGGTGCTCGACGTCCAGGAACGCGAACCCGTCTTCAAGTCCCTCCTCGGACACGCCAAGTACGCACACCTTTCCTCCTTTTTTCCGTTTTATATCTAATTTCTATTCCTGTATTGTACATTTAAAAAAGTAACATGTACTCATTGCTAATATGTTGCCCGTTTCTCACTTTTCGCAGTGTAACAGAGAACTTTTCGCCAGAGAGCCTCTCCACTACGTCGCCCCGCTCCAGCGGTACCAAAACACCCCATTTTACATGTATGGACTATCCACTTTGGCTGATTGCGGCGGTTTTCTTTTGGTTTGCTTGTGAACTTCGCCAGGCGCGGACACGGACGGATTCACTAAGCTGGGCAGCATCACGGATCTGGTGCTGTGGCGCAAGTCGTCCACCGCCAAATGGCAGAACGGCCAACTCACCAACTTCCAGTACCTCATGGTACGACTCGCCCATTCCGAGCGGAACGGTGTTACGATGTCGGCACTGGGGCTGATGGTCGTGTCGTTGGTCGTCGTTGGTCGTGTCGTGCGCTAGCATTTGAACACGCTTGCCGGGCGCTCGTTCCACGACCTGTCGCAGTACCCCGTGTTCCCGTGGGTCCTATCCGACTACTCGTCCCCCGAGCTCGACCTCAACGACCCGCAGGTGCGCCTGCCCGCCCAGTCCAGCCTCCTTAATAAGCCTCGCTGCTGACGTGTACAGCTACACGCATGACTTGGGCCGTAGGTGTATCGCGATCTCTCGAAACCGATGGGCGCGCTCACGCCGGCCCGAGCGGCCAAGTTCGACGAGCGCTACCAGGGCTGGCAAAGCGAGGAGCAGGACGGCGTACCCAAGTGGCACTACGGTACACACGCCCTGAAGGATTCCACACATTCTCTAGTCCAAGTTGTGTGCGTGTGCGGTGATGCGTGTGCGGTGGTGTGTTCAAGTCTCACGGTTTGGTACGATTTGCATGGTAGGCACGCACTACTCGTCGGCGGGCATAGTGGGCCTGTACCTGCTCCGGCTGGAGCCGTTCACGCAGCACTACCTCCACCTCCAGAACGGCCGATTCGACGTCGCCGATCGCCTGTTCCACTCCGTGGCCGAAAGCTGGTATGAACTATCATTTCTCACTCGTTTTTGTTGTTGCAACGCAACGCAACGCTCACCGGCGCCATTTCCACGTGGCAGGGAGTCGTCGTCGGGTGCGGGGGAGAACTACAGTCTCACCGACGTGCGTGAGCTCACGCCCGAGTTCTTGTACGTGTCGCCCCCGTATGTGCGTGTGCGTGTGCGCACACGCTCGAGCGCTGACACACAACACGCGCGTGTGGTACATATCCATCATCATCATCATAGCTTCCTGCCCGAGTTCCTGGAGAACGTGAACAAGTTCGACATGGGCCACAAGTACACGGGTGATCGCATATGGGACCTCCAGGTGCCGCCCTGGGCCAAGGGCGACCCGCGCCGCTTCGTCGATCTCCACCGCGCCGTACGCTCCCCTCGAAGCCCTCAATCTGCGCCTCGTGCCTTATCAAACTTATGTGTGTCGTGCGTGTCGTGCGTGTCGTGTTATGTGTCGTGTTGTGTGCGATACAGGCGCTCGAGTCGGCGCTGGTGTCGGAACACCTGCACGAGTGGATCGACCTGGTGTTCGGGTGCAAGCAGAAGGGCCAGGCGGCCGAGGAGGCGATGAACGTGTTCTACTACCTCACCTACGAGGGCGTCGACATCGACGGCATCAAGGTACGCACCACTTGGTTAAAAAAACAGAAGATGGTCTTTTTCCAGTGCTGACGTGGCGCACATTCCGATGTGGTAATGGTCGGTCGACATTCCTTACATTTCATCTAGGATCCGCTGAAGCGGGCGGCGATGCTGTCGCAGGTCTACAACTACGGACAGACGCCCACGCAGCTCTTCACCAAACCCCACCCGAAGCGCCGCACCGCGCAGCTGCCCCGCCCCATCGACCCCTCCCACTGGGTGCCCGCCCACATCGCAGGTATGTCACGTCTGGACACGCGACACGCAACACGACACACGGCCATCTCACGCCTATGCAACAACAGAGGCCAAATCGAAAGTTGGACAGTTGAGCAAGCCCGACAAGAAGCTGCTCGTGCTCACCAACAGCAAGGTTCTGCTTTCCGCCCATTCCCCTCTCGCACGCACACGCTCACTCTTACCCTTCGTTCTTCTTCGTTCTTCTTTATTCTTCGTTCTTCTTCAGACCTTCATCCGGCCCAAGTGCAAGCACTACCTGGCGTGGGGCTTCTCCGACTTCTCGCTGCGTCTGCTCGCGACCGAGGGCGAAAAGCGGGAGGTCGTGTGGGACAACATCGAGGTCTGGGGCCAGCTGCGCCACGTCGCCGTCAGCGAGGACGGCAAACAGGTCGTCACCGGCGGCACCGACGCGGTACCCTCACTTTTCCCCACAGTGCCGTGTGTGTGTGTGTGTCGTGTGTGTCGTGTGTGTCGTGTGTGTTTAGCTCACCCATATCGTCGTTGGGATCCAAGGCGGTGTCGGTGTTCCGCATGTTGAAGCAGGGCAGCACGGACGACGTGGGCAACTCGCTGGTGCTGGTGAAGCGGCTCTACGCCCACTCGAAGCCTATCACCGCGCTGCTGGTCTCGCGCGCTCACTCGGTCATCGTGAGCGCCTCGGAGGGCGGCGACTGCGTCGTGTGGGACCTCAACGGCCTCTTCTACATCCGCACCCTCGGCCCCCTCGACCACCCCGTCTCGGTTATCGCCCTGCACGAAGTCAGCGTACGTCGCCACCTTAATCACAACCACCACCTTAACTACGACACGAGCGCCATCTTAACAAGACCGCTGCGCCACCTTAACCACACAGGGCGATATCGTGGTGTGCGCGGGTGGTGAGGTGTCGGTGTGGACCATCAACGGAAGGCTGCTGCATAGCAACCGGACCCAGCCGGCGGCCTCGCCCATCACCGCGGTGACGCTCACGCAGTCATGCGAGTGGTCGTCGGCGCACAAGGTCTACATCACCGGCCACCAGGACGGCACCATCATGGTTCGGCCCCATCTCATTTTCTTTTTGCAATTACGTGTGTGCGTGTGCGTGTGCGGTGGTACATGTGCGGTGTTGTGTGTGCGATAAGCATTGTAAAATGTGAGCTATTGTTTAACATTGGCGCGGTCGCAGTTGTGGGGCGTGGGTCGAACGGACGAGAAGGAGCTGACCCCGATCTTCACCTTCGGCCAACACGGCGGGCGAGCGCCCATCACCGCCCTTCTCCTCACCCGGTAGGCGGCCACCACCCACGTGCGTGTCTCGCTCTGAACTAACTGACACAACACACACACGACACACACGACACACACACCACACACACGACACACGACACATGCGACATGTAGGGACGAGCGGATGCTGTATTCGGGTGACGCGCAGGGCATGGTGACGGGCTGGGCCGACGAGGAGCACCACGAGGTCGAGCGCCTGCCGCGGCGCTCCTCGGGCACCTTCCTCCGCATGCCCGCCTCGTCGTCGTCCTCGCGCAGCGCCGACAGCATCCCGCGTGCCACGTCATCATCATCACTGGCCACGTCATCATCGTCATCGTCATCGCTGGCATTGGCGGCGAGCGACACCTACCCACTGAGCCCGCGCAGCAGCGGCGGCAGCGGCCGGCCATCGTCGCCGACGTCGCTGCACCAGTCGGTGGTGACCAAGACGCAGCGACGATCGAGCAGCGGCAACGGTGGCGCCACTGCCGAAGCGCCGCCGACATCTGCGACCGCGGCTGGCGGAGCGACGCCGGTGGGGCGTCGGTACAGCTTCGGGCTGGGGTCGCTGGTGCCCACGCGCAAGTCCGGCGCCACCTCCCCGCCTCGCCCACCCGGCCAGTAGTGGTCGTGTAGGCCCACCAACGCACAGCCCATAATCAACCAAGACACCTTGCATTTTTTATTGTAACATGTTGTGTGGGCTGATGTGTGAAAGCGCAGTGGTGGCTCAGGGCTTCTTGTGGATGGTGGTTGGCGTGAGGGAGGTCAGGCGGCCGTAGAACTCGACGGCGTAGTTGTCCGTCATGCCGGCCACAAAGTCGCAGATGTCGCGCTTCGCCCTCGCTTCCCACCTCCTCACCCTCTTCTGCAGCTCTTCTCTCCTCTTCAGGAGCACCGCATCACCATCACCATCATTCCTCACATTCTCCGCATCGAGTAGCGCCGCCAGCTCGGCCTTGGCCGCCGACACCTTCACCATCTTCTTGGTGAAGCGCGCCCGGCAGTCCGGCGGTAGCTTGTTGCCTTCGGGGTCGGCCCACAGCAGCCGGCAGAGCTCGCTGACCACGTGACGGCCGTTGGTCTCGAAGGCCTGCAGGACCGGGGTCTTGATGACGAAGAAGAAGGTGAAGTGCTTGAGCACCATCACCCGCTCGAGCGCCACGCGGTCCCAGGCCACCTCGCTCAGGCAGGCCGGCTCGCGGGGCACGATCGACACGCCGGCCATGAGAGTCTTGACCAGCTCCGACGTGAACGCCGTGCGGTAGCGCGCGTTCTCGGCCAGCTTCTTGGCATTCCTCTAGGTGGTCGCCGCAAAGTGAAAGTCGCACCTGGTCAAGTCGTCGTCCACCTCTTCTTTCTCTGGCTGTCGTCACTGCTCTCCTCCTCATCGCTGGACCTATCGTCGAAGGCTTTGCCCGGCGCAATTTTCCCGTTGGTGGGCTTTTTGGCTGTTACACAGCAAAGTTAAACGTGTTGCCATGCAACACTAGCATGGAAAAGGAGAAATTCACCTGAAACATGGGCCAGGCCCATTGCGGCGATGTCCCGCAGCACTCGCCGTACGTCGGCCACGGTGAAGTCGGCCAATTGGTGGGCCTCGGGGTCGCTCCTGATCTTCTGCGCCACCTGCGCGGCCAGTTGGTGACTGCAGGCCAGCATGTCCATCACGCTCATGAAGCCGCCCTTGAGTGAGTCCTCCAGATCGGAGGTCGAGAACGCAATGTCGTCAGCCGCGTCCATGATCGAGCACTCAATGGTTCTGATGCGGAATGTGGTTCAGTATAGACTAATGCCTCTATGCCCTTGTTGACATAGTGAATACCTGAGGGATCCGGGCAGTGCGTGTTTGCCGAGCACCTGTTGTCTGACGTGGCGCACGATCTTCCTCTCGGAGTGGTAGTAGCCCTTCTTGACCCGCGTGCCGTCTTCAGCCAGCTCGCCCAGCTCCTGGTCCTTCTTGATGATGGCCGCCAGCGCCCTATCACATTTGGTTATTTTATATTTATGTTTATATTTATAAATTAAAATTGGACATATAGTTAATTAGTAAAAAACTAGAATGAATATGTAAATTATGATAATATGATGCGAACCTGCAAGTTAGGTTGAGGCCAAAGCCCTTGCGTTTCTTCTCGAGCCGGGCCAGGACGCGGAGGGTCTGGGCGTTGCCCTCGAACCCGCCCGCTTCGCGCATCCACTCATTCAATGCTCTCTCGCCGTTTCGGCCGAAGGGCGGGTGCCCAATGTCGTGCGCCAGTCCCGCCATGTTGAGCAGCCCCCGCGACAGGCCACTGTTGGCTTGGCAGGCGAGGGCCTGCGCGATCTGGGCCACCTCGAACGAGTGGGTCAGGCGGGTGCGAAACACGTCGGACTCAGAGGCGGGAAACAGCTGGGCTTTGTTGCGCAGCCGCCGAAGCGAAGCCGAGTGGAGCACCCGCGCGTAGTCGCGGTCGAAATCGTCCCGCCAGGCCGGATGCTGAAGCGGAAGCTGCGCTTCGTCTTCTTCGGCCAACAGCCGACTGCGATCTGCTGCGGTGTACAACTCGTTGAGAGGCTTGGTGGCGTCTGTTTCCATGGCTTAATGATGGTGATTTCACAAGACTAAAGATCTTAGGTTCGGCGATGCCTTGTCGCTTGCCTTCCAGGAAACCCTTGGCGTGCTTCCCTGAACCACCCAGGTTTCTCCCTCTGGTGGACAATTTTTATATTTATTTCGAAGAGAAAAGCTGTTTTCTTGTTATTTCTTTCAAGGCAGCTGTGTCGTGGCGGTGGTGTGGTGCTGCTGCAGTAACGACTGGAGGAGGTGCCGCGTGCAACCGCCGGCGGGGAGGAGGGCTGTGTTCTTCTCGAGCGCCACGAATTCGTCGTCGGGCAGGAGGGACAGGCCGAGGCGTCGCTCGTTGTTGCGCGCCAGCACGTCGGCCCCGCTCAGCAGCAGCGCCACCACCACTTGCCGCAGGCCCAGGGCGGCAAAAGCATGTAACGCAGTGTTGCCGTGCGCGTCAGTCACGTTGGGGTCGGCGCCCTTGATCGTCGGCTTCCTCGACGCCTTCTTCATCTTCTTCTTCATCTTCTTCTTCTTCCTCTTCTTGCTCTTGTCTCGTTCCAGCTCCGCCTTGGTGAGCACCGCACAGTTCAAATGTTCGCCTGATATACACAAAAAAACATTCACATACATCATCAGTATATCTGTGGCAAGTTCGCTATCGGGTGGGCGGGTGTGATGGTGATGAGAAGTACCGAGAGGGCTTCGACCATCTCCAGGCACTCCTTCTGTTGTTTGTCGCTTCCCGAGCAGCGGCCGTAGATCTCCGCTGCAGCGTGCAACATCGCGGCCTGCCCGACCAGTTCCTCCACGTCCTCATCATCACCTTCTTCTGCCTCCGCCTCATCATCTTTCTCTTTTCCCTTCGTTTTTCTCTTCTTCATCATCGTCTTTGTCTTCTTCGTTTGACGCTTTCGCTCTTCTTCTTCGTTTTCGCTTTCGCTTTCGTTCTTCCGTCGCTTCTTGCCTCTGGCGGGCGACGCTGTGGAGGTGGTGGTGGTTGCCGGCAGCACGAAGTCCTTTTGCGGTGTCTTGCGCAGGAAGTGGGCGAACGGCACGACGAGCCCGTCGTCCACGCAGGCGTCGTCGCTGTAGCTCGGCCGCTTGCGCTTGCCCCGCTTGCCCTTCTCCTGCCGCGCGCGCCACTCGGCCTCCTCGCCGGCCAGCTCTGCGCGGCGCTTGACGATGAACCGGGCCATGGCCTCCGACACGCGCTGGTCCGCGTCCGCCCCGCCCGCCACCAGCAACCGCACCAGCCCCACTTGCCGGTTACTCACCGCCAGCTGCAGCGGCGTAAGTCCATTCGCGTCTGTATGTTGCGTGTGTTGCATGTCGTGCGCCGTATGCCGTGTGTGTCGTGTGTCAGTGCCAACTGCAACCATTAGCGGCAGGCAGCAAACATGGAATGTCGAACTGGCAAGGGGATCGGGCTCCACGCCGAGCGAGCCGAGTAGCAGCTTGACCGTCTCGGCGTCGTTGTTGTTCACCGCCATGTGCAGGGGCGTCGCTCCTGCAAAACAATAACAATAATATCAGCAAAAAATAATAATTAAAAAACAAAAACAAAGAAAAATAAACAATTTAAAGACGAAAGGAATCAAACGAACGTTTGGCGTTGGCGCTGTCGAGGTCGGCCTGGTAGGTGTGCAGCATGCGCAGCTTCTCCCGGTCCTGTACCCCCCCCCCAAGTAAGGTGAACAACTCGAGAAAGTGTGCGTCAAAGAAAGAACGAAAGAGACGACGTACGTAGGGGGTGAGTCCCTCGGCGATGTACCACGACCCGGCGCGGCGCCAGTGCCGACGCACGCCCTTGCGCATGAGAATGTGCGCCGCCGTGTCTCCATTCTCATTCTTCCGGTTGGGATCCACCCCATTTTCCTGATGTTACAAAGATTCACACCCGTGCGTGTGCGTGTGCGTGTGCGTGTGCGTGTGCGTGTGCGTGTGCGTGTGCGTGTGCGGTTTAGGCCACACAGAACTAAATGAAACTGCAAAATGAGGTCATGGAGGAGGTACGAGAACGAGTGCGAGCACGTTGATGTTGATGTCGGCGATGTGGGCGTGGAGGTAGGTGTCCCTGGTCTTCTTGGCGACCTTAAAGATGTCCACCACGTGCTTGTTTCCCAACGGCCACAAATGCCTGCGTACGCAACGCGCACGTTCACGTTCATCTCGCTGCGACTGTGCGTGTCGTGCGCGTCGTGTGTCGTGTGTGTGTCGTGTCGGTTTGCAAACCTGACGACGGCCACATGAGGGCACATCTCCTGGGTGTGACCGTTGTCGGCGCGTGTCTGCGCGTGTGTCGTGTAGCTGTAGTTCTCGCAACGCCACGTGAACCGCGGATACGGCGCGGTCGCCTCGTCCGCCAGTCCGAGCTTCAGCAGCGTTCGCACGACGTCCTCGTTACGGTACATGGTCGCGTAGTGAAGCGCGTTGACGGTGATCTCCTCTCCTTCCCACTGCGTACACCGCACACGCCACGACACACAGCACACGCGCACCGCACACGACCGCACCACGAGCAACGTCAGGTGAAGAGGAAGGCAACGATGAAACGGACAACTTCAACGTTACCTTAACTGTGTAGAGCGCGGCAAGGTCGGGACTGAAGCGACGGATGATCGCCTTAACGAGCTTCCCATTGCCGTACTACAGTCATTTAATGTGCGTATGTTGCGTGTGCGGTGTGTGTGTGAGTGTGTGAGAGAGAGAGCGAGAGAGAGAGAGAGAGTGTGTGTGTGTAGAGAGAACTCGTGCATTCATTCATTGAAGCACAGTGGTGGGTACGTACCATCAGTGCTCGTTCCCAGGGAGTGTGGCCGAGGCGACGCTTCTGGCCCTGCCTATACCGGTACATCCGCCTGTGGTTCGCAACGTCACTGCCCTCGCTAGCGAAGGGATACGCCCCGAGCTCCTCGATCAGGAACCTCACCACGTCCAGCGACCCTGCATAGGTCCCTCGACTTAACGCATGCACGCACACGACACACGACACACGACACACACACAATATATTCAAATATTGCGGTACCGTTGACCTGAGGCGGGTAGCCGGTAACGGGGCTCGAGCTCTGTCCCTGGACCTCCCTACAGAACCCCAACCTGGTTGGAAGGACTCCGATCAGTGAATGTGCCTGGAATTCAAGCCATCCAGCGTGTGCCCAGTCCAAGGGTCGTGTGGCGGCGTGTCGGCGAAGAATGAAATGAAGAATGTTAAAATTGTCGGCATACCAGTTCCACGGCTGCTGGCCCAGTATGGCCCGATGGAGGATGGAATAGCCGGTATCAGGGTCGGGCCGCACCAAATCCTCCGCCTTGAACTTACCTGTTCATGAATGACGCCACCATTGGTAAGCCGCGCATTCCTGGAATTGCTCTACGCACTTGGGTTCGTTACCGGCAGCGATGAGGGATTTGACGAGGTCGAGGTCATCGCTGAGTACTGCTTCCGAGAAGCAACTGTCCGGCTCATTCGGAATGGCGGCAACAGACGCCTCTGATCGTACGTTCAGGCGTGTGCGGTGATGCGTGTGCGGTGATGCGTGTGCGTTTATGTGACATCGCTTGCTGATAGTGATGATGACAAGAAACGCGTACTGTGCGCCAAGAGCAGATCGATGATGGTTCGCTGATTGTCGCGGATCCTTTGCAGCTCGGGCAACGCCGGCGCCAGTTCTTCATACAACTTGAAGTTGCCAATGGCGTGCAGTACACGTGTGATGCGCTTTAAGTTCCGTAGCTGTTGTTCATAGGGTTCGATCGCAGAGGTTAGTGTTGGCATGATCTGCATGTGTCCTGTGTATCGTGTGTGTGTCGTGTGTCGTGTGTCGTGTGTCGTGTGTCGTGTGTCGTGTGTCGTGTGTCGTGTGTCGTGTGTCGTGTGTCGTGTGTCGTGTGTCGTGTGTCGTGTGTTTTGTTGTGGAAGAGTACCGCAAGGTAAAGCGGCGATTGGCCATCGATGGCGTTGGCGATGTTCGGGTCGGCCCCGTGTTCGAGCACCACCTGCACCAACTCGGGCCTCACCATGTACACTACCTGCCAACAAAAATAATGAAATTTCATGATATAACACAATAACATAAGCTGGCTGGAATAAAATGCAAATAAAAAAAGTACAAACCTGGGTGAGCAGAGTGCCGACGAAGCCCTTCTTGGTGACCTCCATGTCATGATGGGTGAGCTCAATCCGACGCTGCTCGATCAACAGCGGTGCGTTGATGTCGACTTCGAGCTTCTCCGCAGCCGCCAGGGAGTCCCTGAGTGCGTCGGGCGTCGACACGTGGAACGTGTGGTGTACCACGAGGATCGGGCTGCCGGGCGCTCGCGGGTCGCTCGGCTCTTTGGACCTGGCGATGACCAACGCTTTCTGCCGGGGCCACGTATCGTGGTCGGCCAGCGCGCTGACTCGAACCAGCACCACCCTCTCGAGGAATGCAAAGTAGCGCCCGAACTGGGGCATCACGAAGTTAAATAAACATCAATTAATAAATATAGGAAACAGTATAAGGATAATACCACGAAGGTAAATATAAATATAAATATATCTGAAAAACAAGCAAAAATAATAAACGACAATTTAAATAGAAAAGGGAACGTACGGACTTGACCGGAGGTGGTTGGGTGCCGCTGAGGTCGAGGACGCGGAGGAGCGGGCACGAATCGGCCAAGCGCTTGAGCTGCGGCTTGGCGGTGGCCACCATCGGCCGCACGTTGGCCAGACTCAAACGCTGGAGCTTGCCGCAACCCGCCAGAAGCGCTGCCGGGGTCTGTGTCGCCGTGTGCGTTCGTACTGTCAGTCTTGTGTCGTGTGTCGTGTGTCGTGTGTCGTGTGTCGTGTGTCGTGTGTCGTGTGTCGTGTGTCGTGTGTCGTGTGTCGTGTGTCGTGTGTCGTGTGTCGTGTGTCGTGTGTCGTGTGTCGTGTGTCGTGTGTCGTGTGTCGTGTGTCGTGTTGTGTGAAGTCGACGCCTACCTTACGCAGAGTCCAGCCGGCGATGTTGAGGTCGACCAAGTTGGGACACGCGGCCAGGATTTTTTCCAGGTACACCGACGCTCCCACCGTGTAGCAGCCTGTGGGTTTGGCGCGTTAACTGTCAACCAATCGCCACTAATAAAAATAAAATAAAAACAAACGCGATTGGGCAGGACGGACTGGAGAGGTTGAGCGTGGTGACGGTGTGGAGGCGCGACGTCAATTCTCTCACATTCACGCGATGCGCGAGCAGCCTGCGATCCTCCTCGCGCCGCGTGTGATCGCCGTTAGCCTCGTCGTCACCATCGCCATCGAGCTTGTCTTTGTGCTCGAGCAGAGCGTTGACGTCGTAGTCGTCGTCCGGTTCGGGCTCGGTGCTGCGCACGAAACGGTCACGATCGCCCCAGGCCAGGCTCCGGAGCTTGGCCGTGCGCTCGGTCTGCTCCCGCGGGTCGGCCAGCAGCTGGAAGCAGCCGGCGAGCTTGAGCGTCAGCAAATTGTCGCTGTTGACCATGAGCCTGTTGAGCATGTCCAAGCTCACGTTGTGACAACCTGTAACAAGGTTACATCAGAATACTACTTGCATCTCGTAGTACGAGAATGTGAAACATATCAGCTAAATGTGGGCACACACCCGATAGGTCGAGGTGTCGTGGGCGGAACGGCGTCTTGCCATAGATCTTGAGCATATGTTCCAGGAATGCATCGTCGACTTGCGCGCAACTGGTGCATGTGGTTGAACATACAAAAAAAAAGTTATCGAAGGGAGTGATTGATTATCTTCGACACGATAGCGTAGTACCGACTGAGGCTCATATCGCTCAGCAGCCAAGGCAGCTCCTCCTTGACCAAGCGATTCAACGCTGGAATTAGGGAGAGGAAAATTAAATGAATTTGAAATACTTGGAATTCCAATTTAACAAAAAGAAAAATAGGCGTACCTTTGCACACGAAGCACAGGGAGAAGAGGAAGGGGAGCGAGCCGACAAACGAGTAGATGTGCACCTGCACCTCCGCGGGCAGGTCTACCAGCGTCAACGATGATGACCGCACCTCCTTGTCATCCTCTGGAAACTGCACAGTTTAATCAAAGGTACGAACTACTCAAATGATTGCATTCGCCCAAAATCTCTTTATGGTTGCCGCACCTTGCGGGCAAGAAGGCCCCTGGTCACGTTGTGCCGCGGCCAAGCGTACCATCGCGTGGCCTTCTCTTGCTTGGTGCAGTGGCTGATCAACAACTGCCCTCAACCGCTAAATTGTACTTCGAACGTTTTCGGCCTTCAGTTCAGTTGACCTGTCCGGTGTTTTCCCTGTTTTCTTTCCTTTTTTTGCACGTGCGTGCCGTTTCGTCAAACAAATGCTCAAATTGTTTGACGAGAACCACAAGAAGCCAACAAAAGAAGACAAATAAGCGAGATGCGGCGCTATGCTGCTGCCTTGGCGGCACTGGAGTTAATGTGCTTCTTCTTCTTCTTCTTCTTAATGGTCTCTGCACAATCTGTACGCAAACGCATCCCTTCGTCGCCGATTATTTTACAAAGAACGCTGGAAACAAATACATAACGAAATATAAATATCATATTGTTTGAAACATGTTACATGCAGCTGTGTTACAAATACTATTTATTCATTTTTTTACGTTTTCCAGAGGCAGAGTAGTGGCAACTCGCACGCCGCCTCCCTGATGACAGAGTGGGGCTCCCAGCCGGGCTTGCGCCATGTAGCAGCAGCCCGAGCAGTCAGCGAGGCCCAGGATTGCCTCTACGTGGCCGCCCTGTCGGCCATCACGTCCTCGGGCACCGTGGAGCTGTACGGGTCCGTGACGGCGCTCAATTCCTCGGGCGTGGTGGGCACCTTTGATACTCTTCCGCTGGCCATCGCCGTCGACAAGGACACCCTGACCCTGTTCGTCTCCACGCCCTCCAGCATCCAAGAGTTACGTATAATGCGATGTGTGCGCTGTGTGCGACGTGTGCGCTGTGTGCGCTGTGTGCGATGTGCGACAGCTGTGTGCGTGTGCATGCGTGTGCGGTGTCCTGATGCCCGCACCCACACAGATACGCAATCGAGTCTGATCTCTCAATCGGCTCAAGGTCCTGCCCGTGTTCCTTCGCCACCGGCACCAGCAACGGAGTCATCCAGTAATTTTCGCCCCCCCCCAACGAAAACCAGCACTTGGATGTCTGATGATATTCTGAATATGTTGACGAACATGTTGTTGCCCGTGTGCGGTGCGTTGCATCACATGTGACAGGGCAGTGGCGGCGGACGCGGTGAATGGGAGACTCTACTATGCCACGGGCGAGCAGATATGCTACACGGTTATATACTACGACTACTACAGCTGCACGTCTTACAACACGTCCGGTTCATCCTTCGGCCACATTTTAATCGGTACTCACCTCCAGCCCGCCAGCGCCAGACACAATGAACGCTTACCGCAATCCAACGCCGTTCGCATTACACACACGACACACCCACGCCATACAGAAGGGGACAAACTCTACGCCACCTGCACGAACAGGTCCGATATCCACGTCATCTCGATTGCTGCAGATAGCGACTTCATGACGCGTCTGGCGGTGTGGACCTTCTTCGACGGTGAATTGTCGCCCAACGGTACCCGTTGTGCGCTGTCGTACCTCTTTGACCCTTGCACACACTCACGCACGCACACACCCACCGCACACAACACATCCAACGCACACAACACACGACACACGACACACGACACACGACACACGACACACGACACACGACACACGACACACGACACACGACACACGACACACGACACAGGAATGACGATTGGGATGAGGGACAACATATTCCTTGCCATTCCGTTCTCCGTCGACCAGCCATGTGCGGTGATTGAGGTGGACAGGACCAACGGCTCGGTCGTGGCCTGCTTCGATCCGGGGCCGGACCGCAGCTACTTCGTGCAGACCTTCGGGCTGGCCTACAACGTCGACGAGGAGTACTTCTACCACTTCTTTGCCCAGAACCCCCAGGCTGACGTAAGTACTCTTTCAGACCTTCCACCACCGCACACGCCGCACCACCCACGCATTGCTCACACATTCATTTATTTTATTTATTTATTTATATATATATTCATTTGATGCAGGTCATGTACTTTCAAATGGTTAACATGGAACCGGGTATCTTGGGAGCTTCGGACGTTGACTTCATGGGGCTCGCGATCGACTCGCCGACCGACCTGGCCTTCGGGCCGTGCCCGCAGCCGCCGCCCGACCCCACGGAGCCCGACGCCGGCACCGACAGCAGCAACACCGTGGCCATCGCCGTGTCGGTGTCGGTCGGCTCCGCGCTGCTCATCCTGCTGGCCCTGGCCCTCGTTCTGTGCCTGTGCTGTCTGGCGACCAGGCGACGACGCAAGTACTTTGACTCGGGCCTCGACGCCGACCCCGAGTCCGGCGTGGAGATGACCGAGGTCAAGTTCACCTTTAGGTACCCCACCACCCACCACCCACCAGCCCACCAACCACCCACCAGCCAATCAGCCAGCCAACATCAAGCACTCGTTTGGAATGTGGAGATTGCTTAACACTTATTTTATTTTTCTCTGTCATAGGGAGATTGATGGCAAAGACCTGCGGTTGGGTAAGCTCCTGGGCGAAGGCGCCTTCGGCAAGGTCTACAAGGGCGAATACCGGTACACTCACTGCACACACCGCGCGCGCACACACACACACACACACACACACACACACACACACAAGGCGCACGATATATAGCGGCTTTGTATTAAACGATGGTGGGGTAATAGAGGAGCGGTGGTGGCGGTGAAGCTGTTCGAGGCACTGCGACTGGACCAGGCCGACCAGAAGGTGCTCCACGAGCTGCGCTCCGAGGCGCAGATGATGGAGCGCCTGTCGAACCACCCCTCAATCGTCAAGTTTGTCGGCGCCATCACCAAGGGCGAGGAGGGGTCGAACTTTGCGCTCGTGACCGAGTTCTGCCCGCGCGGCTCGCTCTATGACCTCTTGGTGCGCACTCTTGTCGCCAGCCATGCCATTAAATGCTTATTTTTTTGATTCTTCACGCCACCGCACACGCACACGCACACGCACACGCACACGCACACGCACACGCACACGCACACGCACACGCAGGTCAAGAAAAAGAAGAAGTTGCCGCTCATCACGCTGGTGCGCATGGCACGCGATGCGGCGTCGGGCGTGCTCCACCTCCACAAAGAGCACATCGTACACCGTGATCTGGCCGCACGCAACATTCTCGTAGGCCAAAACTACGGTGCGCCAACCAAGCTACCACTTCTTGTCTTGCTCACAACATATATATATATATATATATATTATATGGCGCCGCAGAGGTCTATGTGGCCGACTTTGGGTTGGCGCGAGTGCAGGCGGCTGAGGGCCAGGTGGCCACCACCAAGCAGAACTTTGGCCCCATCGCCGTACGCGTCTCCTTTTCGCTTTTTGCCTCCGCTTTCAAGGCTCTTTTCACGCTCGCTACTCACCCGTACGTGCGGCTCTCCAGTGGATGGCGCCCGAGGGCCTCAAGGCGCGAGAGTACTCCGAAGCCACCGACGCCTTCTCCTTTGGCGTCCTCCTCTGGTGCTCGCTCTTCCCTGACTGTTGTTATTTGTTGTTATTTGTTGTTATTTGTTGGTTGTTATTTGTTGGCTGACGATTGGGTGGACGAAGGGAGATGATGGTGAAGAAGCGGCCGTGGGCGGGCGTGGAGCCGGTGCAGATCATCACGTCGGTGGTCGGGAACACGCGGCTCCGGATTCCGAAGGACTGCGATCCGATCTTTGCGCAGATCATGAAGATGTGTTGGCGCCAGAACCCCGCCCAGCGGTACAACTACTCTCTTTCTCCTCTCAATGCCTCTATATGTTTATATCTAGTACTTCATATGATGTGGAAAAATGTTCCAATATATTGGATCTATGTGCACAGACCGTCGTTTGAGAAGCTGGTCGACATGTTGTCGAGCTACTACAAGAAGCTGCACAAGCTGCACGACATCTCAGCCGACGCCTACGAGATCAGCGACCAGGAAAGCGCCGGCGAGTCTGAAGGTGCGGATGTGTGGCCACCTTGACTCTCTGTTCTTTCTTCTGGTCATCACCGCCTGACGACCACGCGCACACCAGCAGACGAGATGCCGGAGGGTGTGAGCTACGAGGAGTGGCAGCTCAGCCGAATCAAGGAGGAGGTCAAGTCCTTCATGAAACAGCTCATCAACGAGGTGCGCGAAAGACACATAGCACCAAAAGCAAACACAAACGCAAACGCAAACGCAAAACTAAACGCGACTGCGCAACAGAGAAATGACGACTACCGCCTCATCGCAAAGGCCAACAAGGCCGCCTTCGTCGAGCTCAAGGACGCGTTCCGTACCGGGACCGACAGCGAAGAGGAAGTAACATTCGAGGACGACAGCGACGAAGAGGAGGAGGAGGGCACCAGGATTGGCGGCGCCAGCAGCGTCATCGAGAAGAAGGAGGACTACTCGGTGTCGCGAATCATCGCCGGCGCGAGCAACCACATCCTCCACGCGCCCAGCAAGTCCTCGCGAACCGCACGCCGCGCCGAGACGCAGGCGGCGTCGACGACGTCGTTGGCGACATCGTTGCCCGTCTCGGAATACTCGACGCTGGGCGACTCGACGGCCCAACAGAAAGCGAAAAGCGAAAGCGAAGAAGACGAAGAAGGAGAAGGGAAAGGGAAAGGAGAAGGAGGAGCCGACGAAGAGCATCGTCGGCATGGAGAGCAGTGGGGAGATGAGTTCGCAGTACTGCGTTCTCAAGCAATCGGCCGAAGAGGCGCCACAAGGAAAGAAGAAGATGAAGGAAAAGGTGGAAAAGGTGGCAAGAAGCAAGTCGCTGATTGGGGACACCTACGCCATTGTTTCCCAGCCAGAGCCGACAAACACCAAGAACAACAACAGAGCCACGGTCAAGGACAACAGCACAGGCTACGAATGCCTCACCACCGGCGGCACCAACGAGCCATTGCCCATCGACAACTACCAAGAAATCTGACACACAACACACGACACGACACGACACGACACGACACGACACGACACACCGACGCGAAATGTCCAACAAGCCCAACTTCTTGTGTCGACATAAATAACATTCTTATTGTTTTTGATTTAGATTACAACATCGAGACAGGGAGGTAAATTGAAAGAATTCAAAACGAATCGAGGCAGGACACAAGAGAAATGAGCAGAAGGAAGCAGGTGCTGTGGTCGCTGCACAATCCCGACCAATTCGTGATCGGTTCGTCCGATCTGCGACTCTACGAAATCAGTGTGCGGCCACCATCTTCCTCTTCCGCCTCCTCTTCCACCTCCACATCCTCTTCATCGACCAGCGATGGAGGCGCCATCACAAACACTGGCCAGCGAAAGAAATCAGTCATCAATCTCATCTCGGTACCCCCATGTCATCATCATTCATTAAAATGATTTTACACGCCCTTTTCCCTTTTTTAATTTACTTCTGAAATGCCAATTCTATCGCTTGAATAACAATTAACAAATACAATAATAAATATACAAATAATATCAACAAAAACACAACAACAGGTGAACAGCGAGGTCCAGACCTGCAAGTGCCTGGCCTGGAGCCCCGACCCGACCACGCCCCACCTGCTCGCCGCGGGCCTGCCCAACGGCCGCGTGGTGCTGACCAGCTTCCGCGACAGCGTGAGCTTCTCGTCGGTCAACTCGATCTCGAAGGAGTTCATCCCGCGCAACTCGCGATCGTGCAACGCCCTCGCCTGGAACCCGGTCTACCACAACGAACTCGCCGCGGGCCTGGGCAAAGTGCGCTGCGACTTCTCCACCCTCGTGTGGGACGTCAACCAGAGCAGCGGTACCTCGCTTGCGTGATTTCTCTCCGTGCGTGCGTGCGTGCGTGCGTTGCATTGACTAACCAACGTGTGCGCACACGAACGCCAGGCACGGGCGCAGCTACGAGTGCACCTCGAACACCTTCGACGCGCTCGCTCAATGCGGCATCACAACCTCTGTACGCTCTCCACCACCTTCCCGCTCTGGCTGTCTTCTATCACAAAATCATCGCTGACACACACGACACACGACACACGACACACGACACACGACACACGACACACGACACACGACACACGACGACATACACGACACACACGACACACCATCGTGACAACTACAGACAACAGTCACCGGTGGCGCAAGGGGTGGCGGACATCACCGGCGCCGAGGCGATCGTGCGCCCGATGCGGGAGGTCAACATGTCCGAAGCGACCGTCTCCCTGGCGTGGGTGCCCAATCAGCCCTCGTGTCTTGCCACAGGAACCGGTACCTTTACCTACCGTCATCTTCCTGTCGTGTGCTGCGCGTGTCGTGCGTGTCGTGCCGTGTGTGCCATGCGTGTGTGCGTGTGTGTGTCGTAATACTAATAATATTAATAAATAAATAGGTGCGAAATGGCTGCGAATATACGACATGCGGGCGTCGGATCTCACGGCTCGCAAGTCGGTCCTGGCCCACTCCAAGGCCGTCCACGGCGTCTCCTTCGATCCCTTCAACGACAAGCGCCTCTCCACATTCTCAGAGGATGGCACGTCGTCACCATATTATTACGATCAATTTTATTCTATTTCAGTATGTCCATTTTATGTTATATTCTTTTTATTAGCATTATTATAAATTATATTAATTGCTTACAATTATGATTATTGCTGTGGATAGGTGTGGTGAAGATTTGGGACACGCGTAAGCTGCGGGAGCCGATCTTTTCGCTGCACACGGGCAGCAAGAGCCTGATCCAGATCGAGTGGTGCTCCACGCGCAGCGGCATCCTCGCGTCGATCGGGAAGGAGGAGTCCGTGCTCAAGCTGTGGGACCTCAACGACTCGGCGCTCGACCTCCCGACCGACCCCACCAGCGGCCAGCAGCAGGAACTCAACCTCAAGTACACCCGGCCTTGCCGAAGTACGCCTCCTCCCCACTCACACGACACACCACACGACGCACGACACACATCACACGACACCTAACCACACACACACCACACACCCACACACCGCACACACACCCACACACATACACACGACACACACCACTTACGACACACACCACTTACGACACACACACACACACGCGTCAATAGCGTATGAGGCGAGTGAGCCGATCAGCTGCATTTCGTGGCACCCGACGAAGGAGTACCGGATCCTGACGGTCACGAGCTCGTCGTTCGTCGAGGTGGTCTCCCTGCACGAGTCGATCCCCGTGTCGTGGGCGCCCTACGGCGACCTCTCGTTCGCCTACGGTCGACAGATAATCCAGGGCTCCACCGCCGTCCACCCGCCCGGCCTCTCCTCCTCTTCCGCCGAACAGTACGCCGCGCCTCTTTGCTTTCATTGGCCACCAACCACTTTGCTGACGTGGCACACGTGTGTGTGTCGTGTGTGTGTGTGCGTCGTGTCGTGTGTGTGTGTGTGTGTGTGTGGCGTGTGGCGTATGGCGTGTGTCGTGTGTGTCGTGTGTCATGTGTCATGTGCGGTGGGAGCAGGATGCTGGAGCAGCTGGACATTTCGTTCGTGATGAAGCAGAAGGCGCTCAACGGCTACTCGATGGACATCGAGAAGAACAAGAAGCTGAGCGACGCCTTCGGCACACAGGAGCTCAAGGTCTGCTGGTCCTGGCTCGCCAGTACGTGCCCCGCCACAATCGTTCCCCCGCACACATTGCGATTCTTCTCATGCTGACTCCTGTGCGTGCGTGTTGTGTGTGTGTGTGTGTGTTGCATGTGCGTGTGCGTGTCGTGTTGTGTGTCGTAAATGACAGACGCGAACAGCAAGCGAAAAGAAAAGCACAGCGACTTTTCGGGCATCGTGGCGATCCTGACGGGCAAGGACACGACGGACCTCCCGACCAACATCACCCAACGCGAAAAGGCCGAAGTACGCCTTTCTTTATTTATTTCTTTTATTTCTTTATTTATTATTATCATTAATTTATGTCATTAATGCGTGTTTGATTATCATAGGGCGGATTCAAAACATACTACAGCCCGCAGCGACAGGCAGTACTCCGATTGTGCGGCTGGGACATGGAGTCGGCCTCGCTCGACGACATGGTATGCTGTTTTTTATTATTATTTATTTATTCATTTATCCACAATTTAGCTAATTCCAAGAATAATTCAAATTATTTATTGATTTGGATTATTGATTTATTTGTGATTTTATTCAGCTGTCGGTGCTGGAGCAGCAGAACCAGTTCGAGCGCGCGGCGGCCATCGCCGTGTTCCACCTGGACATCCGCCGCGCCGTGCTCGCGCTCAAGCGCGCCATCGCCGCCGACAGCGCCAACGAGCCCTTCCGCCTCGTCGCCATGGCCCTCGCCGGCTACGAGGGCGCCCAGCAGATGATGATGGCCGGCGGCGGCACCACCGGCGGCGGCGGCGTTGGTTCGCTGTGGAAGGAGACCTGCGCGTCGCTCAAGGAGCAGATCGGGTCGGCCTACCTGCGCGCCGCGTTCGCCTTCCTCTGCGCCGACTCGGTGCCGGACTTTGCCGAGGTGCTCGACCAGTACGACGAGATGAGCCTCGCCGACCGCATCGCCTTTGGCTGCCGCTTCCTTCCCGGCGCCGACGTACGCGCCCGCGCGTGTCGTGTCGTGTCTTGCCAGGCGTGTGTCGCTGGCGTGTGTGTCGCTGACGTGTGTCGTGACGTGTCGTGCAGCTGCAACGCTACATCACGCAGTCGGCAGCGGGGGCGGTGAAGAACGGGTCGCTGGCGGGCCTCATGCTCACGGGCCTCAGCCCGCAGGGCGTCGACCTCCTCGAGAACTACCTCAACCGCACCGGCGACGTCCAGACGGTTCGCTCGCCTCGCCCCCCCCCCGCACACACCAAAGACGCCTAACCCCGTGCGTGTCGTGCGATGCGTGTCGTGCTGTGCATGTCGTGCGCAGGCGTGTTTGGTGATGGCGCACGTGGTGCCGCGGGTGTTCAGAGACCAGCGGGTGGAGCACTGGATGGACTGCTACCGCAATCTGCTGGACATGTGGCAGCTCTGGCACGAACGCGCCCTTCTCGACGTCGCCCGCATCGCCACCGTCTCCGAGCCCAAGCCTCCGGGCCAGGTACGTGGCGCGCGCGTCATAGCGTGTGTGCGGCGATGGCGTGTGCGGTGGCATGTGCGGTGGCGTGTGCGGCGATGGCGTGTGTGCGGTTGCTGATTTGCATTGTATGTGTGATCCAGGTGTTCGCGCGATGCAACTTCTGCAGCCAGTCGCTGTCGATGAACATGCTGAGCGCCAAGATGGGCCGCGGCCGCGGCATGGCCCCCCAGCCCAAGGCCTCCAGCGGGAAGCAAAAGGTACTTATTTTTATTATTAATATTATTATTATTCATTTATTAATTTATGGTGTGCTGCGCGTAGGTGTCGTCGTGTCCGTCGTGCGGCAAGCCGCTGCCGCTGTGTTCCATTTGTTTGCTGCCGCTCGGCTGCTCCACGCCCGTCTTCAGCGGATCGCGCAACCCGAGCGAGAAGCAACGTACGTTGTTCATTTCTGCGTGTGGACTGCAAGAGGAGCGCTCACCAATCGATGCCATGTGTGTGTGCGTGTGCGTGTGCGTGTGCGGTCGGGCGTGTGCGGTCGTGCGTGTGCGACAGTGTACTGGGCGGAGGGCGGAAGCAAATTCGAGGATTGGTACACGTGGTGCCAGACCTGCAGACACGGTGGCCACGCGGCCCACCTCATGGACTGGTTCGCCCACCACGTCGAGTGCCCGGTGACCGATTGCAACTGCCGCTGCTACTCCCTCGACCCGCTCGAGTGACACAGTCGCGCCCCAGACCAAACGAAATAAATAGGTCAAATTTAATAAATTAGGCAAATTTGCTGAAACAAAAATTGCGGGGCCAAAATAAAGATGGACGAGAGGGAGCAAAAGCAGCAGAAGGTGGCGTGCGAATGTTGCGAGTACCTGACCCTGCCCGAGAGGGGCGCGTGGAGTGTATGCCCGGTGTGCTCTGGGCAGACTACGGAGCCAACGCCGTCTCCCTGCCCGTTGGCCGAGGCAACTTCGCCCGCTGGGGTGCGTGCGAGGAGCGCTTCGCCGGCAAGACCCGGCCACCGCGGCCCAACGAGCTCGTGCAGCTGCCCACCACCTCACCAACCCCTCGCCCCGGCGCTCCCACCGATTGACTTTTTAATTTTGATCTTATTTATATTTTATCCACCTAAGAGCATTTTATTTAGTTATTATTTTGCAACGTTTATTGGTGAGTGTTGAAGAAGAGGGACATGTGCAGAGGGAGAGGTGAGGAGAAGGAGGAAAGAGGAAGAGAAGACTGCGAAGTCACTCACTTCAGAGGTCGTCGAGGCTGGCTCGCCTCTTGGCAAAGTACTTGTTGATGAGGTAGCCCGCCACGAAGAACTGGGCGTCGTAGAGCAGGTGCACCGCCAGCGCCGTGAACAGGCCGTGGTTGATCATCACGTTGGCCAGCGCGAGACCCACATACCTACACCCAATTGCGCGGGTGCGGTTGTAAGTGTCGTGTGCGTCGTGTGCGTCGTGTGCGTCGTGTGAATGTGTGTGTCGTGTGTGTTGGGGCGAGGACGACACACGTACCAGGAGTTGATCCAGCCGAGGACGCCCTGGTACTTCTTGCCGTCGCGGTAGAAGACGTTGGCGAGGAGGACGCCCACCATGAACATCCGGTTATCGACGGCGTTGGCCTGCCACATCTTCCTCCTCATCCTCGAGCCCGTGAACGCTCCCTGGTAGCTGCACACCGCACACACCGCACACACCGAGACGGTGAGGCACGCAAACGCTGTACGCACACGCGCGCGTGTAGAAGGTGGTGGAGGAGGAGGGGGGATGGTGTACGTACTTGGAGGTGTTCATGCCGAAGGCGCCCATGAAGAACTGATCGTACTGGTAGAGCGTAAGGAAGTTGGCCACCGGGAAGATGATCCAGTCCCACACGATGCTGAACAGGGCGCTCCACACCAAGCCCATAAC